GCGCTAGCATGTCTGGAACACAGGGTACTTGCTCTGAGTTCGAGAAGATGGAACCAGGCAGCAAGAGGACAGCAGCACTCACAGGTGCCTGCCCCAGGCATTCACTCCCTGGACACTAACCGCAAATTCCTCAGATTGAAACTATTCTCATTCCCAGTTCCGAGAGGGAGAGATCGAGGCTCAGAGAGGTGAAGTCACTAGTTTACGTTGCACAGCTGGGAAAAGGCAGTGGTGGGACGAGAACTGATATTTCACTCCAAACCCAGTCTGAGACCGAGAGCGTGCCAGACTGAAGGGATGGGGCACTGGGAAGCTGTCCGAGGCTCTCATGCAGGAGACTGACACTGTTGGAGCCAGCTCAAGAAGAAGTTTCCAAGGAAGGGGACAGGGGCCCACTGGCCCCACAGCCCGGGCTGGCCAGGGATTTAGCAGAAGAGCTGGCTTTTGTTCTAGATGAATCACCCCAGCTGTTTGTGGAAGCCCAGCCCCACTCTTCTGGGCTCAGCAGACCAGAAGGCATTCAGCTGTCCCCTCAGGTCACCAGTGGGGTGGGAGGGGGCAGTACTCTGTCCACTGGACTGCACCATTTACAGAGAGTTATATTATCACAACACGAAACAATGGGCTTTTTTTTTTTTTTTTTTTTTTTAAATCTTGTGCTGCATCTCCGGCCACAAGTTGTAATGGAAACACAATCAGGCCAGCAAAGCATTACCTTCTTTGGAACACCGAGAAGCTAAAAAAAAATAAAAATAAAAACCACCCATAATAGCTGATTGGATTAAGGTTTTAGTCAAAAGCTGGCCTGGGTCCTCCACTCTGTGCCTCCTCCTTTCCCTTCTCCCTATTCTGTTGTGTTTCTCTCTTTCTCCCCGGGCCCCCCTCTTCCTCCCTCTCCTCTTCTTTCTCACCACGATTACTGCACTGGTAGCACTTTGCTGGAATCCAAAGAGCGTTGCCTGGGGAATTCAGACACCTGAGTTCACTCTGTGTCCTGCCTTCTTCTTGCAGAATGATCCAGGGCAAGTCACTCACTCCTCTGGGCCTCCATGATCCCATCTGCAAACTGGGATGGTAGAAGTAACAACCCCCACCCCAGGAGGGGTTAGACCTGGCTCACAAAACCAGGGATTTTTCAGCCCCTGCTTCTGCTGCACTGGCCCCAAGGAGAGCTGGAGGGCATCCGCCTCCTAAGATCTAGTTAACTGTCCTTCACAACATTAGACTTTAGGTCCAATCACTCTAGCTTGTCTCATCTCACATCTGCCATTTCTAGACATTCACATCTGACATTCAGACACTCACAGTGCAAATGTAATCATTTCACTTCTTTGTTTTCCAAATCAAAGCCACAGACTTGAGAAACCCAAGTTTCTCAAGTGTTTCCCTGATGGAGCTTTTTGCTCCTCCTGAATGTTCCCAAACTCCAAGGCTGAAGCGCCCCAGCAGGGACAGGGTCAGCCCACATCCACAGCAAGCAGTAGTCTAGAGTTCTGCTTGCTCCCTGGTGCACCATCTTGCTATTTTACCCCAACCTCAGACAAATGACCCTGCAGATCCAGGTCCCTGGGCAGGTGCCAGGGACCTCCATGAGCTGTCCTTCTGCCTCACTGCCTAGCCCAGAAACACACTTGAGTTACTCCTACAAGTTACTCCTACAGCCATCCTACAAGGTCCTGTCCTGCCAGTCTCCATACCAAAATCTGTCTGCAGACTCGCCCTTAGGGAATTCCAACGTCCCTCTTTTTTTTTCTCCAAATGCCCTGCGTGTCCCCCTTCAAGGATGAGGGAGCAACCTTCGGGCAACTAAAGGTGAATTACCCCAAGAGGACTTTTAAGTTCCTTTTTCTCTAGAAATGAAAAAAGAAAAACAGTTACATCTTCAGCAAGCAACTTATGAACCCCTTTTAAAGTATACAATGGAATCATGGCACGAAATACAATAGGTTTGGTTTTCTGGAACCCATGAAAAGCTACAGGAATCTTATGTGGCAAGGGCCATGGTTTGGAGAGCTTTACATTTTGTCCACATCCAGACAAATACCAGCTTCGTCTGCCTGGTACTGGCGGCCACATAGACCTGGCCTTGCTTTGTTTCTCCAGCTTCATCTCATCTCCTCCCACCTCTGCCACTGAATCACCTTCTGCTCTCCCAGTCTGAGTGGATCCTACCTTCTGTCAGCGAAATCTCAGTTCTCTCTCTTGGGACTGCCCATCTCCACGTTCCCCCCTTTGACTCTTTCCTACATGTACAGACTCGGTTTGGAGGGACCCTCCTTGGCAAAGCCTTCCCTGACTGCTCTGGGCTGTATCATCTTAGCTGACCCTCCTGGCTCCCACAGTCCCCTGTGATGTGTCCATCAGAGCACCAACTGGAAAATCTGTCCTGTTATTCTTCATCCCAGAGCACTGCTTAATCCCCTTATACATGATGGTTATTTTTAATTATTTAATTACCAGATTGTTTACTGTCTCCACCATGATACTATGAGCTCATTCTCTTCTTGCCTGTGAAAGTGCCCAGCACAGCAACCTAGACAGAGCAGACCCTCACTACACACTCACCAGATTGAAGTGAAATGGCACTAATGACACTGTGTTATAATTTCTAGCCCTACCAACAAACCCCTCATGGGCAGGGACCAGGTCTGCCTGGCCATTTGCTCTTTGTGCCCAGCACAGAACTTGGCACATGACAGGTTAGGAGATGTGGCATGAATGAATGAATGAGTGAAATGAGCAAAATTAATTAAGAAAAATTAGTTAACATAAAGGCAGGGTGAACAAATGATCAAATAAAGGAATTCCAAACAACTTTTCTGAAACAACCAATTGATAGCTGTTATTTTCACTGTTTGAAATAAATATAAGTTTCCTCTCTTGATTCTGTTCACTGGTACTGTTGGAAAAAAAAATCATAATGGAGTCGGTCAAGGCTAACCTTTAAAAAACAATCACCACAGAAATCCAATGACTGGAGCAGCCTCTTAATGAATAGGCAAGACACTGATATCAATTTACATTAATTAGTAAGGCTAAGATGCCCTCTTAAAACGTCTGCTTCCTTAACCTTCTAGATTTGTATCAGATGTCACCCCTTAGCTTTTCCAAGTTTCATATTTAAAAGAAAAAGATTATTCCCTATAACAACACTGATGTGTGTGTAAGGGGGGGGCACTACTGTTTCTTCTCTACTATTCCCACAGAACTTCACTTCTGAAACCAAATGTGAGGGGTTTTCCCCACACTGACCAATTCTGTGATTCCAGGTGGGTGTCCTACAATTCAGTTCAGGTCTGACACTGTCTGGAGATAGTATCAGAGCCCACCCGCAGGTTAGGGTTGGTTTCCACAAAACTGTCCCCACCCCACTTCGGATGCCAATCACTAGCATAGGTCTCCGGGCTGTAAACTAAAGGTTCCTACCCATTCTCAGGTTCGATAACTTACTAGACCGGTTCACAGAACTCAGGAAAACGGTTGACTTACTAGGTTACCAGTTCCTTATAAAGGAGACAACTCAGGAGCACCCAGATAAAGGCTTGCATAGAGCCAAGTGTGGAGGAAGGACAAGGAGCGTCCATGCCCTCCCGAAGGACTAAGCTCTCAGCACCTCCATGTATTCAGCAAACTGTAAGCACCCCGAACCCCACAGTGTGGGGATTTTTATGGGGGCTTTATCATGTGGGTACCATCAATTATTAACTCAGTCTCTAGTCCTTCTCCGCCCTTCAGGGGCTGGTGGGGTGGGGATGAAAGTTCCAAGTTTCTATTCATGCCTTGGTCTTTCTGGTGACCAGCCCCCACCTGAGGCTCTCTAGGAGCCCACCAAGAATCTCCTCCTTAGAACAACAGATGCTCCTATGGACTGGGAAATTCCAAGGGACTTAGGAGCCCTGCATCAGAAACTAGGGTCAAAGAACAAATATTATAACAAAAGATGTTCTTAGCACCTTTATCACTTCGGAAATTACAAAGGTTTTTGGATCCCTGGCCAGAAGCCAGGAACAAAGACCAAAATATCTATTACTTGTTATGTCCCCATATCACAGTGTTTGTTCCATAACCTATGTATATTTAAATGCTCATGATATCAAAAATACAGCAACGACTTAAAATGTCTTCAATATAGTCTTTAGTTTTGGGGCATCTGGGTGGCTCAGTCGGTGAAGTGGCCTGCTCATGATTTCGGCTCAGGTCATGATCTCAGGGTGGTGGGATCAGAATCTGAGCTCAGCCCGAAGTCTGTTTGTCCCTCTCCCTCCCCCTCTGCTCCCCACTGCGCACCCCCCCTCCGCCCCTGGCATGCACACGCTCTCTTCTTTCTAAAATAGATAAATAGGGGCACCTGGGTGGCTCAGTTGGCTCAGTTGCTTAAGCATCTGCCTTGGGCTTGGGTGATGATCCCAGGGTCCTGGAATTGAGCCCCATGTTGGGCTCCTTGCTCAGCAGGGAGCCTGCTTCTCCTTCTGTCCCTCCCCTCCACTTTCTCTCTCTCTCTCTCAAATAAACAAATAAAATCTTTAAAAATAAATAACTAAGTAAATAAATAAAATCTTAAAATATACATATAGTCTTCAGTTTTAAGTAAAGTAGTCATATTTCCTCAGCTTTCCTAAAGTCAGAACACAGCAACTGATACAGGACTGACAATAATCAGAAACTTAAACTCGGGATGTTCTAGAATTTTCTAGATGGGAAGTCAGCACACCCACAGTTATTTCTCTTTTTACATAACTGTAACCACCGTCTCTAAATGATCATACGCACAGCTTTCTTCCGCCTCATTAGATTATTTAGCAAATGTTTTCCCCTATTGTGATATATTCTTTATTTTTTCCTCTGAAAAAAATCATCTAACCTCCTCACCCTCACCTGTAATCAGCTGTAATCACTTCCTCTCTTACCACACCTCGCCAGGGCTCTGGAGAGTTCAGTGGCTGGGAGGAGGCTTTCTGGCAGGTGAGAGGGAACGCTCTGGAGTAACACACCTTCATGGAACTCTGGCTCTGCCACTTGCTTGTTGTGCCACCTTGGGCAGGCTCCTTGTCATCTGGACCCTCAGTGTTCTCATCTGTAAACTGGAAACAATAGTGCCTTATGCAGAGGTGGCGTAAGGATTCACTGGGTTTTAAAAAATGCACGTGCGATTAGTCATCCAGTGCCTGGCACACAGTGGCTCTTAATAAGAAAGAGTCGCTGTCATTATTGCTATCACCCTTCCTCTACTTTGCTTTTCCATGGCATTCATACACCATCATTACATAAATGTCACCAAATGGTTTCCTGTTCTTTTCTCTTAGAGGTAAGGCTATCAGTACATCCTCAGGTAGACCACCTCCCCCCCACCCCCCCACCCCCCCACCCACCAATGATCTCTTCAGATTACAGTGCCAGGAAGAGCCAGCATGACCGCCCAGCTGCTTCCTCTCTCTGCCTGGTGAGCTCCTGATTCTGTTCAAGCCTCACCTTCGCAAGGCCTTCTCTGACCCCCGGAGGGTGAATCTCCCTGGCCCCACTTCACCTTGAACATACCACTCCTTCACAGGGCCTCTCCCTCCAACTCAATTTCCACCTGGCCCCAGAGGACTTTCCTGGGAAGACATGTCCTGCACTGCGTAGGAAAACAGATGGGCAAGTGGAATAGTTATCATTCTCTTTGAGCCAGTGGTTCCACAGCCAGGAATTTCTTTTAACAGGTGTGCTCCAAAAATGTGCAAAATGGTGTACGTACAGGGTTATCAGGGCAGTGTTCCCTACAGTAGCAAAAAAACTTGAAATCAGCTACCTGTCCATCAGTCGAGGATTATGTAAATAAATTATGTAATAGGCAGTCACTGGAATATCATTCCCAAACTATACCTTTAAGTGAAAAAAAAATGGTGCAAATCAACATGTATGGACTGTCAACACGTATGTGTGAAGAATAATAAGGAAGAGAAAGAACAGACAGAAGTGTTTGCTTGAACTTATATAAAATACTTTGTAAGTATACATAAGAAACTGGTGACGTGGGTCGCCTCTGGGGAGAGTTCCAGTGGCTGATGGATGGGGCTTAGAGGAGATTTTCTGTATATACCTATTGTGGCCTTTGAATTTCTTTCTTTCTTTTTTTTTTTTTTTTAGGATTTTATATATTTATTTGACAGACAGAGATCACAAGTAGGCAGAGGCAGCCAGAGAGAGAGGAAAGGAAGCAGGCTCCCTGCTGAGCAGAGAGCCTGATGTGGGGCTCTATCCCAGGACCCCGGGATCATAACCTGAGCTGAAGGCAGAGGCTTTAACCCACTGAGCCACCCAGGCACCCCCGGCCTTGGAATTTCTAAACCATGTAAATCATCATCTATTCAAAGTAATAACAATAACAAAGAAAACACAGGTTGTGAGACACAAAAATATTGCTAGATGAGCTTATTACTAAAGAGATAGTAGAAGAATTCACCTCCTGCAGAAAATTGCTCTTAGGTTGAGGAAAAAGCCTTATAAGGGCCTTCCTGTTGTGCCCAGAGCCCAGTCTGGAGGGGAAAGGTTAAAATCATTAGATAGTAAAGGATGACCTCTTTGGGTGAAGAGGTAGTTCTGGTTTGAAGCAGATCTTGACCCAAGGAAACTGGAGTCTGGGGGCACTGGGAACTGGGGGAGAGAAAAGGAAAGAAAAAGGTCTAAATAAGAATAAGAAATAAGAATGGGCCCTCAGGGCTGAGATGGCTCCCCGTCATGGTGTGAGGTTGAAAGCCTTTAGGGCTAGTGACTCTTGTTTTAGGGGGAGCCAAATCTTTCTCTTGTGTGAGTGGCAGGATGGGAAAGCTCAGGCTGGCTTAGAATCAAGCCAGCATGTAGCTGCCTCCCTTTCTTTGTCTCTAACTATTTTCTCTCCTGTTATGCAGCTTCTATGTTGAGTCCTCCCCACCCTTAAGAATAGAGAAATCTTTTCCCTTTTTGGTCTGTTTGTATCAATTGCTGATGACCTAGAATGTAGACTTAATAGATCATCCACTCTTCTGTTAAAGAACTAGACAACAGGAACTAGAACAGAGAAAGAAGGAAGTACTATGGAGGAGACCAAAGGGAGAATGCAAGATTTAGAGATCAGAGGATTGGAGGAAGGGAAGAAAGTGACGGGGGAGTTTGCCACAAGTTCCCCACTAGTCTGGTTGCTGATCCGGGCCAGTTTACTAAAAAGGAGGAAGACCCAAAGATCAGTTGAGGCAGGTGAATGAAACTAGCAAGGAAGGCTTCAAGGGACGTTGTTTGAGCATCAAGGAGCAAGGCGAGCACAGAGGCGTTGTCACAGATCACTCAGCTATGACCACAGAGAGGACCTCCTGTTACCCACACCAAACTGGCCTATGCACACTGTTTCCATGTGGACAGCCAGTGGATGGATCACTCCATTAGCATTGGTAACTTACTGGATGCTTGCCTACCCATACCATGTGATTTCGGCATGAACCTGCTCACTTATTCCAGGTGACAGATACCTACATCATGCCCGAGGACAAAATCTGTAAGCCCAAAGCAAGTAATGAGACCCCGGACTCAGTGATGTGGTAACAAGAAAGCTCTGGACATCTGTCCTAGGTGGTTGAAGGAGAAAAAGAAAAGTGGGAGCTGAACTGAATTGAGCTCAAACCCTTCTGAGATGGGACAGTGGTTAATGACACTGTGGGCTCTACACGAATGGGGATGATCTGGACAGCACAATGCTACTCACCAGCCTATCAACTTTTAAGGGCTACCCTCTACCTCTAGGGTAAATTCCAAATTTCTCAGCCTGGTGTATCAGGATAGGCGAACTTCTGCTGCAGTAACAAATGAACCCCCAAATCCTAATGGCTTCACACAACAAAAGTTTATTTCTTGGTCATGGTACACATCCCATGCATGTGCCCCACACAATCCCTCAAGAAGCTAGACTGATCGAGAAGCCACCATCCTACAGCTGCACCAGTTGGAACAAACGGCCTCCCAGTCACTGTGGCAAGGCAGGAAGGCTAAGGGAGAACATGCCTTTTTTTTTTTTTTTTTAAGATTTTATTTTTTTTAAGATTTTATTTATTTATTTGACAGAGAGTGAGATCACAAGTAGGCAGAGAGGCAGGCAGACAGAGGGGGAAGGAGGCTCCCTGGAGCCCAATGCGGGGCTCTATCCCAGGACCCTGAGATCATGACCTGAGCAAAGGCAGACACTTAACTGACTGAACCACCCAGGCACCCCAAGATTATTTTTATTTATTTGACAGTGAGAGAGAGAGAGAGCTCGCACAAGTAGACAGAGCAGCAGCCAGAAGAAGGAGAAGCAGGCTCCCCACTGAGCAAGGAGCCCGATGTGGGGCTTGATACCAAGACCCTGGGATCATGACCCAAACCCAAGGGAGCTGCTTAACTGACTGAGCCACCCAGGCACCCCAAAACTTGCTTTTTAAAATACTTTAGCCAAGAACTGCCATGTGTGACTTCCATTTACAGCCCACTGGTAAACCTAGTCACGTGGTTCTCTCCAAGTGCAAGAAGACCTGGAGATATTGGGGTGGAATTTTCTCTCAGCTTCCCAGCACGTCCTTGAAGCACGCAGCCCCATACCTTTGCTTAGTATGCAGGTTCCTGAATATAGAATGCCGCTTTCTCCTCTTCCCCATCTGCCAACATTCTACTTCTCCTTTTCAGCCCAGCTCAAATGCTACCTTCTCCATTCCTGATCCCTCAGGAATACAGTTAATTGACCCTTTTCAGTTCTGCCACATCTATTTTTATATACTTCCCTTAGCACTTAGGGTCCGTGGGACGGACTTCCTGGCATGTTTTGCAGTGCCTGGAACATTATGGGCACAAGACAAATATTGGTTTAATAAATGCTTTTTGTTTAGAACTTTTCAGACAATAATTTAATTGTATGTCTTTCTCCACACCCATCCACCCACTCACAAGAGGTTGTGAACTCTGGTTGATACAGACTAAACTTTTTAAAAATTTGTATATGTTTTTTAAAGATTTTATTTATTTCAGAGAGAGAGAGAGAGTGAACACTAGAGAGAAAGAGCAAACATGAGGCAGAGGAAGAGGGAGAAGCAGGCTCCCCACTGAGCAGGGAGCCCATTGTGGCGCTCTATCCCAGGACTCTGGGATTGTGACCTAGAGGCAGACATTTAACTGACTGAGCCACCCAGGCGCCACACAGACTAAATTTAATTTATCTCCACTCCCCCGTTACCTACCAACACTGAGAACGTTTCCAGCAAATGTTTTGGAGAGAATTGACCAATTTGTTCTATACTTAATTTTGAATAATGAATTTAAAAATAATTGCAAATAGGTCTTTTAAAAATGAGCAACTGCTATGTGTATGCTATCCTTCAATTAAAAAAGTTACTCTAAAAAACGAACGGTGGGGGTGCCTGGGTGTCTCAGTCGGTTGGGGTCTGACTGATTCTTGGTTTCAACTCAGGTCATGATCTCATCATGGTTGTGGGATGAGCCCTGAGTCCGGCTCTGAGCTCAGTGTAGATTCAACTTCGGATTCTTTCTCCCTCTGCCTCCCCTCTGACCTTCCCGTGATCTCTCTTTCTCTCTCTAAAAGAAATAAACAAAATCTTTAAAAAATAAAAAACAAACAACAGTGATGAGCAAAAAAAGGAAGTATTTAGAGAGTAAATTGCACAAACACTTCCAGACAGACACTTCCAGGAGGTTCGATCATTGTAACAGCGTCTGTAGACAACAGTACTGAAGTCCCTTTGGGGACAGTAACGTTGCCTGGAGCCAGCTAAAGCAAAAGGGAACCCAAGTGTAGAAACATGATTGTCTCAGGATCAGGTGCAGTCAGGTACCTGAGTGCTGGGGGAGCATGCACATCCCTCTTTTCTTCTTTCGTCTCTGCTTCTCTTTGAGCATATACTTCATTATTCTTACTTCCTAAAAATCAGCTTTTTCTCCTTCTCAGAAAACAGCCACTCGAACCATCAACCAACAGCTAGCTATCTACTGGCCAACTCCTTTCCAGAAGGCAGGAGCTCCATCCAATTTCAAGACCCTGGGGAAGGGCTCTGATTGGCCCAGCGTGACCACGTGCCCAGC